TCAAAATGATTGCACTGCTTTAAAGCCCTTTGACCTTTAATAATGTGTGGATGCACCCTGATGTGCTACGCATTCTCCAACGCGCCTAGGCATGCTTCTGATCAGGTGGTCAATGTCCTCCTGTGGTATCTCATTCCAGGCAACCACCAACTCCTCTCGAAGTGCTTCTAGAGTCTGAGGAGGACGTTGCAAATTGAGCAATCTCCTACCCATCATATCCCACACATGCTCAATTGGGGATAAGTCGGGAGATCTTGGTGGCCATGGTAACAATGTGACATTATTATGTTGAAAGAAGTCTATTGTGACTCTTGCAACATGTGGTCGGGCATGATCTTGTTGGAAAGTTGGATCTGCCAGGGTGTCAAGATAGGGTAAAAGATGGGGTTCTAGAACTTCGTGGATATAACGCTGCGCGTTCATGTTACCTCTGATGAAGATTAAAGGTGACCTGGAACCATAAGCTATAGCACCCCAAACTATAACTCCAACAGTGTGATGAACATGTCTTTCAACAAGAAACTGTGGATTCCTCCTTTCACCACGTCGCCTTCTAACCCTGGCACGACCAAACAAAATCGAGACTCGTCACTAAAGACAATACTGTTCCATTCCTGATCCCAGAGTGACCGTTGTCTGCACCACTCAAGGCGATTACGTCGGTGTTCTCGAGTTAAAGGGAGGACCCAGTGTGGCCGGTGTGAAAACAAGCCAAAACTTCGCATTCGTCGGTAAACACTTCGCATGCGAATAGGTCTTCCGTGTTCTGCAAACCATTCACTTGCAATGGACCTGGTAGTGGAGAAACGGTCCCTTAAGGCCAATAATCTTAGGCGGCGATCTTCGTCTGTTGTTCTACTCTAAGCATCGTAACCGATCGTAAAGGATGTCAAGAACCAAAATCCGCCAACGTTGATTCTTTACTGCGGCTGAAATAATCATTTTTAGAGCGTTAGTGAATTAAAAAAAAGCAGTATAAAAACCGGAATGTCCAACTGATAAGGCTGAAAATTTTTTCACTTGTTATTTACAGTAAGATAAATACATTCACCAACTTTTATTAAAATAAAACCATTTAAACTGGGTGTTCGGATTTATATGTCACTTAGTATACATCATGCTTATATCAGTATTCAATAGTCAGTCGTAATAAATCTATTTTCAATAATGATATTCGGTTTTTTATATGGACCTAGTATACAATAATAATAATAACAATAAAATGCCTTTTATTTTCCTGGCGACGATTCAGCTAGCAGCTGTACTTACTTCCTAACCAGGGCACCAATTGCTTACAAGCACCATTACAATAAAATTTAATAATTTATAGGAGTTTTAGAAAAAAAAACAACAAGAGTCTGTTTACAGTTATATAGATAGCCGTCTTTAAATATGAGCTCCTTGATTTCTCCTTTAAATCTACTAAGTGGTAGCTGCTTGACTGAAAGCGGTATTTTATTATACAATGCAGCTCCTATATAAGAAAACGATTTTTCAAAATTAGATGTATTGTGAGCAGGAATATCTAGTGTATGATCGACAAATCTAAGATTGGCATTATGATATTGATTACGCATAGATAATTTATCTTTCAAATGAATTAAGTAATATTTCATCTTTGGTGTTGCAATAACTATTTTTGTTTACTTTTACTTCCAGTATCATATTAACAATTTTTATGAATTGTCGAATGTTTGTTTTTATGGAATTGTAATGTATACTAAAATCATTTTTTATATTCAAAAGTTTTGATTCTATAAACAGCGATTTGGAGGGATTAATATCGCCCCACCTTTATCATTAAATGTTTGTTATGCATTATTTTTTTGAATCATTTTTGTATTATTTATAATGAATTTAGATGGCTGTTAATCGTGGATCCACAAATAATAATTACATAGGTTAGCTGGTATTCAACTAGTACTTGATATAACATTTTTAATTGAGTTTCAAGGAAAATTTGTCTGTAATATTTGAAATTATATAACAGAAATCAAGGTTTGTAATATATTGAATATGTTTATCCCAACGAAGAGGTACTTATGATTTAGTTTACGCGATATACAGGGTGTCCGCAAAGTTGGGGTTTTCCTTTTCAGAAACTACTAACCTTGAAATAACAAAGGTAATGTGTAGTGAAACGAGGGCGACCAAGTAAAAAAAAATAAAGGAAAAAGTACTCACCCTCCAGTTGACGAGAAGGGCTAAGTACGTCTCTGCCCGAAATCATACCGCTCCAACAGGAAATGAAATCAGCTGATGCGCTACCGAGCAGACGCAGAAACCACATTGATTGTCTTACACTTAATGGCACATCTTCCTACAAGGAAGGCAAAATGTTGCGTAAAAAGTCTAGGTATTGCATCCCGTCCAATCGATTTGGGAGAATAAATGGTCCAATGGGCATACCGTTCACCATGCGAGCCCAACCATTCACCGAAAATGTTTGTTGAAAATGTGCCCGACGGACAGGGTGCGGATTTTCTACTGACCAAACATGAGTGTTGCGATAGTTATTCACCCCATTACGCGTGAACGTAGATTCGTCTGTCACCAATATGCACTTCAAAAAGTCCGGATTATTGTTATGTTGATGCAACAACCACTCACAAAACCGCACACTTGCTGAAAAATCGTCAGGTTGAAGGGCTTGTACACGTTGGACGTGAAACGGATACAGCCCCTCTTCACGCAGCGTTTGCCACACTTTAGTTTCTGATACTTGCACTTCTCTAGCCACGTCTCTAGTGCTTGTTGAGGGATTATCGTCTACGCGATTATCTCTACACGCGTGACCGTAACCGTCGGTTGAAGGTTGCATACTGACCTGACACACTGACCCCGACCCAGTTCTGTCGTCGGGTTGAGCTAGTGTACTAGTACCACTGGGGAATGTCGCGGCTACAGGACGGTATTCAGATATTTTTGATGTTGCAGAGCTCTTTATCTCGGTTCCCTTAAGACATTGGTGTATATGGTACTAAGAAAAATTGCTTATGTTTTCAAGATCTACACGTCGTGTAAAGGAAAACCCCAACTTTGCGGACACCCTGTATATGCATTTGGTTTCTTGATATTTAGCTGATTATATAGCGATCAATTGTGTGTAAGACGTGAACGGAACAAAATGTTTTTTTATTATTAATAGTTAATAATTGATTATCGAACCAGTGTGTTCACATCTTTCTCAAAATTCTCTTTTAAATTTTATCCATGTTCATTAGATCAACTATTTCGAAAATGTCTTCAGATTAATCAAATTTGTGCCATAGGCGCAAACTATATGTCATTAGTAAAGTCGGCCGATGAACGCTTTTCAAACTAGATTTCTAATTACTGCGGAGAGAAGGAACGGATCTGTAACAAAGCTCATTTCATCTCGGATAATCTTTTGGACGCCGAAATACAGTATTAGGTTGGCTACCTTCAGGTAGAATACGTTAATCAATGCCACTAGTTCAAGTCAACATATTCTACTTTCTGAACCTGGTAAAAGGACTTGTTAGGTTGTTGCCCCCCATTTCAGTTTAGTTATTCTTATGTAGTATGAGCACTCCATTATTTTTGTAGTATCAAAAATATACTAAGTGACATATAAATCCGAACACCCAGTTTAAATGGTTTTATTTTAATAAAAGTTGGTGAATTTATTTATCTTATTGTAAATAACAAGTGAAAAAATGTTCAGCCTTATCAGTTGGACATTCCGGTTTTTATACTGCTTTTTTTTAATTCACTAACGCTCTAAAAATGAATATTTCAGGCGCAGTAAAGAATCAACGTTGGCGGATTTTGGTTCTTGACATCCTTTACGATCGGTTACGATGCCTAGAGTACGGAGACCTGTACGATTTCGTCAACTTAGTGAGTTTGATAGGGGGACTTCGGGAAGCTGGACTTTCTTTTCGGGCAATTGCAGTTAGAGTGCAAAGAAGTGTAGATACTGTGGTTAGGTGTTGTCAGGCATGGCTTCGAGAAGACCGTACGCAAAGAGCGAGGGGCACTGGACGCCCCCGTAGAACAACAGACCGTGAAGATCGCCGCCTAAGATTATTGGCCTTAAGGGACCGTTTCTCCACCACCAGGTCCATTGCAAATGAATGGTTTGCAGAACACGGAAGACTATGCGAAGTGTTTACCGACGAATGAGAAGTTTTGGCTTGTTTTCATACCGGCCACACTGGGTCCTCCCTTCAACTCAAGAACACCGACGTAATCGCCTTGAGTGGTGCAGACAACGGTCACTCTGGGATCAGGAATGGAACAGTATTGTCTTAAGTGACGAGTCTCGATTTTGTTTAGGCATGCACGATGGTCGTGCCAGGGTTGGAATGCGACATGGTGAAAGGAGGAATCCACAGTTTTTTATTGAAAGACATGTTCATCACACTGTTGGAGTTATGGTTTGGGGTGCTATAGCTTATGGTTCCAGGTCACCTTTGATCAACATCAGAGGTAACATGACACCCTGGCAGATCCAACTTTCCAACAAGATAATGCCCGACCACATGTTGCAAGAGTCACAATAGACTTCTTTCAACATAATGATGTCACATTGTTACCATTGCCTCCAAGATCTCCCGATTTATCCCCAATTGAGCACGTGTGGGATATGATGGGTAGGAGATTGCTCAATTTGCAACGTCCTCCTCAGACTCTAGAAGCACTTCGAGAGGAGTTGGTGGTTGCCTGGAATGAGATACCACAGTAGGACATTGACCACCTGATCAGAAGCATGCCTAGGCGCGTTGGAGAATGCGTAGCACATCAGGGTGCATCCACACATTATTGAAGGTCAAAGGGCTTTAAAGCAGTGCAATCATTTTGAAATTTTTATCATTTACTTATTATGCTTCGTTAAGTACTTATACAAAATTTTATTAAAATAAAACCATTTAAACTGGGTGCTCGGATTTATATGTCACTTAGTATAATAAATGCTCTTTAGACCGCGCCTTTGCAACTTCTTAGATATTAGCGGCTATATCGTGTATTCCTACCTAGCCGTGAGCCTTTTCTGAGATATTTCATGTGTATCCAACAAATGTAACCAAATCCTCATAGCCATAAAGAAGAGCTTGTTTGGTTTTCCGACTTCGAGCAGCTGGATCAAATACGGCGTGATCCCTCGTGGACTGAACGGTCTGTTTGTCTTAAGCCTGAACTTCCTGGCGGTATAACTTGCCAAATTTCCGAGATTGAAGATGACGTCTTCCTCATTTTGAAGAGATGAGAGTCTCGATGTTAATAGCGAAAACTAAAACAAATGTAAGCAATGATACGCGCTCGGCGTTCCCGAGATGAATCTACCGCCATCTAGACCGCTTCCATGAAGGTTCGCGACTCGGCCTGCAAAACGCTGGAGTATTTCTTGACGCATCGTTAGAAGAATAAATATAAAAATACGAGTAGTAATAGTGGCAACAATTAAATTACATGCCCTTTTGTGCTATAATGCGTTAATAAAACAATATAAGGAACTAATTATAATGAATATATTATAATGATACCCTAAACACAGATACAGATAATTACCCCAAAAACAACAATCAAAATTAGTTCCATAACTTCTTTGCTGTTCTGATAAATTCATTTAGCGCACAGACAAATTCTAGCCCCTTCCCACTTCAGTTGGCCCAACTACTGAAATCTTAGTTCTTTTCTTATCAAAGACAAATAATAAAAATGTAGCAGGTTGTTATAGGTTTAATATATTAACAATGAATACTTTGATAATATATAGTAGAAAACACCAACTTTATCACTCCCTAATCAAATTTGCAGCATAAAAATAACACATGTTGCAATTACCGCATATCAACCTCTTTTCATTTCAATGCAAAATAAGTCTACAGGGTTATCCAAATTAAGTGTCCACCATTAGTAACTTTGTTATTAGTGAAAATACAAAGTTGTTTGAATTAGCAAACTAGTAGCATTTTTAACGCTGGTAAAAATGAGAAATAAAAAAAAACAATTGAGAGTCGTTATTTTGATTTTTTTCAGTAAAATAACATTTTTTTAAATGGAAACCCCTGTATATTATATTTTTTTCTGTTAAAGCATCAAATTTTAAACAAAAAAGCTCACAATAACTTTTCTCCTAGGTTACAAATTGTTGAAGTTATGGCCTCCAATCTGAAACAATTAAATTGTATCGACAAACTTTATTTTCAACATCAACTTATAATCTTACAAAATACAATAACAATTTTTTTAAAGAAGATGCTCGAAAACACCACCTTGTTCTTCAATACATTTTTGGGCACGTTTTTCAACTGCTCGAACTGTCTTTAGTATGGTCCTACCATCTGTCTGGGTTATCTTTTTCCTAACTGCAGTCTTTAACGCGTCAAGGTTATCGTACCTTCGCTTGTAAATTTGGTTCTTTAAGTAACCCCACAAGAAGTAATCAAGTGGGTTTAGATCTGGTGATCTGGGAGGCCACTGTATAGGGCCATTTGTTCCTATCCACTGATCATTAAAAGTAGTACTTAGAAAATGATAAGTACCTCTGGAGTTGTGGGCAGGTGCGCCATCTTGCTGAAAATGCAGATGATGTCTACTTATAAGATCCAATTCGTCTAAGAAATTAGTCAGAATTTCTGACATAAATTCCACATATCTTTCACCAGTTAGGGTTCCCTCATAAAAGAACGGGCCAACAATTTTTGAACCAATTATACCGCACCAAACGTTGAAACTGAAACGGACTTGTGGGCCTCTTGGATGTACTAACAAAAGATTTTCTCTTGACCAATAATGGTGGTTTTTTCTATTAAACATTCCAGAATTTGAAAAATTTGATTCATCTGTCCATAAAAGGTAACGAAAGTTATTTACATTTTGGCGACAGAAGCTAAGATACCAATGGCAAAAAACAAGTCTTCTCTCTGGATCCCCTGCCAAAAGCGTTTGAAATGGTCGGTACTTATACGGAATAAATTTGTATTTTTTTAAAATCCTTTGAACAGTACCATAACTGAAATTAGAGTCCTTGAGAATATCTGCTATTGAATTCTCACGATAAGCTTCAAAATATCCAATAACTGCAATTTCCGTGGCCTCGCTTATTATGAATTCTTTTTTTGCCCCTGTTTTAGCAAAAACATTTTCGTTGCCCCTAAATTTTCGATAAAGTCTCAGAAAATATAATAATAATAATAATAATAATAACTAATGTTTGACATTATTTGATTTTATCATTGTTTTCCAAAGCCTTCTAGTTGCGAGTATGTCCAGTTTAACAATTTGTCGCTTATCTTAATGCTGTCAAATCGCGAACGCCATGTTGTTTTCATAGCCGTCTTAATATTATAATACTGCAAATAATTAAAAATATTTATCGTTATTTTGACTTTATTTTTAACTTTAGCGGAAAAGTCATTATGAACTTTTTTGTTTAAAATTTGATGCTTTAACAGAAAAAAATATAATATACAGGGGTTTCCATTTAAAACAATGTTATTTTACTGAAAAAAATCAAAATAACGACTCTCAATTGTTTTTTTTTATTTCTCATTTTTACCAGCGTTAAAAATGCTACTAGTTTGCTAATTCAAACAACTTTGTATTTTCACTAATAACAAAGTTACTAATGGTGGACACTTAATTTGGATAACCCTGTATAACGCATAGGTGGCTGTGAAAAATAAAACCCATGACCATTGTTTTTATTAATCACAGCTGTCAGAATACGTTTAAAATAGTTTTGGGTAGTTAAGGTTTTCAAAATGGGTAGAGGAAAGGTTATTAGTGAGAAAATTCGGTTACTGATAATTAAATTTTTTAATTCTGGGAAATCAAACTCAGAAATTGCAACTTTGTTGGACTTATCGCCGTATAGTGTGAGAAATATTGTTAGAAGATATAACGTAACTGGTTCAGTTAATATTAAGCTACGATATGTGAAAAAAAGTAATATCACAAATGCCGACCGAAGAGCATTAAGAAGAATAATCGTGAAAAACAGGCATGCCAATTATTTACAATTAAGTGCTCTGTGGAGTGACGCTGTCGGAAGGAGAATTTCGAGTTCCACAACTCATAGAGATGCCCACAAACTGGGATTTAGCACTTGCAAGGTAAGTTTTCTTATAAAAAAAGTGAAGTAAAAACCCTAAAGTTGCACAACTTGTTTATAGGCCAAAGAAAAACTCCACTGCAAAATAAAAATCGGCTTAGATGGGCTAAAGAACATAGGCATGAACACCTCAACAATGGTGTGCAATACAATTTATTTATTTATTTATTTATTTATTTATATACAGTTTGGGGTGTTAACAGGTAAACCCAACAGTGAACTAAAACTAAACTTACATAAAATATCGTATACATATACATATATTACATTATTGAATACTTCAATATTAAAATTTTTTTATCCTCCGATATTGTTGTAACAACATAAACTGAGTGAGTAGTTCTAGTTATAAGCAATAAACTATTAATTTAACTTTTTTAATAAAAGGAGTATACATAATTTAACATTTACTTACGTTTAATTAAAACTGAAATCAAAATTAAATTGAAATTATACCAGAAATGATATTGGAGGTGATAACTTGAGTTATGTAAAAAAATAAAACATTTCTATTTTAGTCTGCCATAGAGCTGTAATACTCATACTTTAAAGCTTTTTTCAGGGAGGTCAAGCTAATGTTAAATAAATCTATATTACAGAAATTATTATGATTTTTTGAGCCCTGACCAAAGGGGAATTAAGACCAAGATTGGTTCTACGGAACGGTATTCTAAACAGATGATAGGTTCTAAACGTTCTATCAGGAGTGTTAAAGTTCAAGTTTGCCAAAAGATCCGGACAGTCAGTGAGGCCATTCAACAATTTATGGACAGAGCAAATGTCAGAAATCGTTCTTCTATCTTTTAAGGAAATCATATTGAACTGTTTCATAATTTGCGTATAATGATGATCTGTAACAGGTTGGTGAGTTTTATGTGCTAACATCTTCAAAAATTTGTGTACTTGTGACTATATGTACATTGTAAGACGGATTCCATATTACTGATGCAAACATCAGTTTGTTGTGTATATAAGCGTAGTACAATGAAAGAAGCGTTTTTGGGTTCGTAAATTCTCTACAATGGAGTGATGAGGCCCGATTCGAAGTTTGTGTTGGTGACAGTCGCAGTAGAGTTATTCGTAAAAAAAATGAAGCATTTCATGTTGACTGTCTGAAGAGAAAAGTGAAATTTCCAGCATCCATTATGGTCTGGGGCAGTATGTCATCAAAAGGAGTAGGAAAACTTCATTTTATTGATGGAAATATGGATACAAACAAATATTTGGCAATTTTAGAAGAATCGCTTTTACCAGTGATGGAAGAATGTTTGACATCCGGCCAAGATTTTGTGTTTCAGCAAGACGGTGCAGCGTGCGATACCTCAAAAAAGGCTATAAAATGGATGGAAGAAAATAATGGACTACTTTTGAAATGGGGTTCTAGCGGTCCTGATCTGTCACCTATTGAAACTTTGTGGCACGAGATGAGGTTCTACGACAACATCCTGCTCGAACAATCACCGAACTGAGACAAAAGCTTCAAGAAATATGGGATTGTTTTACACCAAATTTTTGCCAAAACTTGGTTAACACTATGCCCCTAAGAATTTCAGCCGTAATAAAAAATAAAGGTGATGTTACCCAATGGTAATCTTTCAATTGTTGCTTTGTTAACTTCGCGCATTTATTCGCACATTGTTTATTTGTTCAGATGTTCTATTTTATAGGTCTAAGTGATTTCAAATATGTATTTTTTACGACTAGAGTGATTTTGAGAATATAAATTGTTTTAGAAGTAAATAGTTTCGTCACGTTTAGTTTATAAAGGCATATTTTGGCACAAATCTTGAAGTGGGCCAACTGAAGTGGGAAGGGGCTCGTATATTACAACGGCTGGACATACAGTTTATCACACATTACATAAACTGGAGACTTAACGTATTAATCTAGGCTCTAGATAGGTTAAACAGGGTGTTTCTTAATGATATGCGATTATTTAGGAGTGTGAATCTACATGAAAATTACTTTATCTACTGCAACTTTATTAACTTTCACTACTTACTAAATATCGGTTCTGATAATATTAATTAATTTCCCTTTTTTTCCTAAAACTTCAACACCCCGAGTTTTTGTAAGGAAACATTTTTGGACCGTATCTCGATCCACATCCTTGAATGTTCGCATATCATTAAGGAGTACCCTGTATATCGCATAACCCCGAGATGAATTTGAAGGCACAGCAAGACCTACTTGCTTCATAACAATCAACATATCTTTAAATACCAAAATCGTCGCCATATATTGTCTTCTATGCTCCAAACTAGCTATTTTAAATCTACTACAGACCGTACCATTTGTATGAGCTCCTTTTTTCTGAAGTTGGTGATGATGTTCATCAGGCAGAGATCCAAACCCATTTTCAAAGGCCCATAATTAAAAGGATCTTCCGGTTTAGCAAGAATGCTGCATTTATACATGGACAAAAACTTTTTCATCAGATGTTTCGACATTTTACGCCATTTCACCGTTTTCAGTATGTCGAACAGTACTTGTGTTAACTGTTTTGCTTCGTACATGTTGTAACATGTTGCTGTTTCTATTGTATCTGAAATTGGATATTATTGTATTACTACATATATTGAGGTGTGAATTGAAAAAATATTCCATTTATTTGAAAGGAATAGCTTCAAAAAGCATAGTCCTAGAATTTTAATATGCTAAGTCGCAAAACAGCCTTCAAAGTTCAAACGGAAAATTTCGCACATTATTGAGTATATTCCATAAAATTCGACAACACCGTCTGATCACTTACGTAGCATATCTTCAATGCACTCTTCCGGATGCTGGTGCACTTCCATGATTATGATAAACATATCTTTACACGCAAATTCTACTTCCCACAATTTTCCCTCTTTATAAAAAATAATAATTGAATTGAGGACTACTCTTTGGAGATCGTTGTCAAGTTGCCTCACAAATCTGTCGAACAATTGCATGCAACGCTCGTATTGTTTCCTGCAATCAAGTTCCATTATAATCTTTGGACCACTGGCATATTCAGGGCGGGGGGGAGTTTGAAGCCTCCTCGCCCCGCCCCCCAGCATTTTTCCTGGTTACGCTACTGCGTTGAACACAAAGTGATCCGAAAAGCGAGCAATGTTTTTAAAACAGAAAGGACAGAGTGTTTCAAAAGATGTAAATCAAACCAAAAAAGGGTGACAGCGTGAAACATAGCTAATCAGAAAAACATATCCTTATTTGATTGTATGTGGTTTTTTAGAGTTACTATTTTAAAGAATTTGTAGAAAATCGATACTTATTCTTTTTTTCTGAAATCTTTTGTTATTTCTAGATCAGCTTTAGAGGATATACGTTTATGTTCCCAAATAATGGCGGCTATAAATTGACCCCCACTAACTTTTTTTATGACCTTTCAGAACAATAAGTCATGTGTAAAAGTTATATGGTCTAATATGAAGCTTTTCATACATTTTTTTGTCTTTTGAAAAGTCGTATCGAATAAAGTGGTTTGTTTGTTTTATATATTTTCAGTAAAAAGTTGTGTAACATCTAGGCGCCTATGCAATCTGGTATAGGGCCGGAACACAAGGTGTTGATCAAAGTGATAAAAGTTGTGTATTTAGAATCAGAAAAAGGACTCATTCATTTTCACTTAAAATATACATTTAAAAAAATGCGACTTCATTCGATATCACTTTTCTGAGACATCCGGTATACAAAAAATATTGCATAAAAAACTTCATATTAGACCGTTAACTTGTATATGTAACTTTTTCTTCTAGAAGGTCATATAAAAAATAAAAAATATTAGAGATGGTTAATTTATAATCTATTTATACTCGGACACCCTGTACATACATATAGCAATCGACTGAATCGTAACTTTGTCAAAGTTATACAGCATATTCAAGTTAAGTTTGTGAAAAAATAGAGGGTAGATAAAGTGTCCATAGTAAGGAGAAGCTAATATTATAACCTGACAACGACGTTTTTAAAACTTTTTTGTCATACTGATAAAGGATGGGACTAGAATTAAGTACATTTTTCGCATCTAATTTCAAGGGATCACAAATTGGATTGATTGGATTTCTGACTGTTAAGATTTTGTGAGTAGACGTCAAGGACTGACAAAAAGTTTTGTTCAAAATGGTTCAATCATAAACTTTGCGCGTTTAAATCAAGGCCAAAGACCTGTAGTATAGTACCGACGTTAGTTTATTATCCTTGCACGTTTTATTATCCTATTTGAATCGCATAATAATCGCTTACATTGCTTAAACTTTGCGTTAATTTGAATTTGAGAAGATATTGTTCATAATCGTTTCCTGATTCTATCCGGAAGTTTGATACTGGCAGGTTCATAAAATGAAATTTGAGGATACCTCACCACTTTGTCAATCTTTCTCAAAGGCTATTTACGATATTCGATCAATTTACTACTATACCTATATTAACTGGACTAATTTTTCAGCGACAGTTTTTCATCAACGGCACATCATTTGGCAACAAATCCTGTAAAGCTGATGGAGAAATGACAAAAGATAATTCCAGAAATAAGATTACAGTCTCAAGATTACATTTTCTACAATTTCTTCAAAATGGCGATAAGTCAAAAACCGTACATAATCAGATAAAAACATATATGGTTTTTCTGATTAGAAAGTACTCCGCTATGACCTTTACCTGTCTGTCCTGTTGAAAGTATTGTGTGTCCGATAATTTGCGAAAAATAGAGCGGTAGTCGTACTGTTCAGATCTTGTACAAACGGATAAGGGGCGGGTATATATACTAAGTGACATATAAATCCGAACACCCAGTTTAAATGGTTTTATTTTAATAAAATTTCGTATAAGTACTTAATGAAGCATAATAAGTAAATGATAAAAATTTCAAAATGATTGCACTGCTTTAAAGCCCTTTTACCTTTAATAATGTGCGGATGCACCCTGATGTGCTACGCATTCTCCAACGCGCCTAGGCATGCTTCTGATCAGGTGGTCAATGTCCTCCTGTGGTATCTCATTCCAGGCCACCACCAACTCCTCTCGAAGTGCTTCTAGAGTCTGAGGAGGACGTTGCAAATTGAGCAATCTCCTACCCATCATATCCCACACGTGCTCAATTGGGGATAAGTCGGGAGATCTTGGTGGTCATGGTAACAATGTGACGTCATTATGTTGAAAGAAGTCTATTGTGACTCTTGCAACATGTGGTCGGGCATTATCTTGTTGGAAAGTTGGATCTGCCAGGGTGTCAAGATAGGGTAAAAGATGGGGTTCTAGAACTTCGTGGATATAACGCTGCGCGTTCATGTTACCTCTGATGAAGATTAAAGGTGACCTGGAACCATAAGCTATAGCACCCCAAACCATAACTCCAACAGTGTGATGAACATGTCTTTCAACAAAAAACTGTGGATTCCTCCTTTCACCACGTCGCCTTCTAACCCTGGCACGACCATCGTGCATGCCTAAACAAAATCGAGACTCGTCACTAAAGACAATACTGTTCCATTCCTGATCCCAGAGTGACCGTTGTCTGCACCACTCAAGGCGATTACGTCGGTGTTCTCGAGTTAAAGGGAGGACCCAGTGTGGCCGGTATGAAAACAAGCCAAAACTTCTCATTCGTCGGTAAACACTTCGCATGCCAATAGGTCTTCCGTGTTCTGCAAACCATTCATTTGCAATGGACCTGGTAGTGGAGAAACGGTCCCTTAAGGCCAATAATCTTAGGCGGCGATATTCAAGGTCTGTTGTTCTACGGCGGCGTCCAGTGCCCCTTGCTCTTTGCGTACGGCCTTCTCGAAGCCATGCCTGACAACACCTAACCACAGTGTCTACACTTCTTTGCACTCTAACTGCAATTACCCGAAAAGAAAGTCCAGCTTCCCGAAGTCCCACTATACGGCCCCTATCAAACTCACTAAGTTGACGAAATCGTACAAGTCTTCGTACTCTAGGCATCGTAACCGATCGTAAAGGATGTCAAGAACCAAAATCCGCCAACGTTGATTCTTTACTGCGGCTGAAATATTCATTTTTAACTGATAAGGCTGAAAATTTTTTCACTTGTTATTTACAGTAAGATAAATACATCCACCAACTCTTATTAAAATAAAACCATTTAAACTGGGTGTTCGGATTTATATGTCAGTATATGTATATGTAGTTGAGTACTTAATTCTTTTCTAAACGTATCTACACTTACTTTCTTATCCAAAATATAATAGGCAATGCTCCTGATTTAAGCCTCAACTGAAAGTGGTGCATGCAGCTCATTATTGACCACGTGATATGAATTACATGACTAAATGTCAGAAAGGTTCTGTTTCCTCTCATACTCAAGTCTTCTAGGATTTCTAAACCTACAGTCCAAATTTTCTTTTATGTAGTGAACTAGAGTTTCTTAGTTTCTCATTATAGGATGAATAGGACATGTTTGATTACCGTCTCTGCGATAATACAACGTTGTTTTGTGCTTTTTAGCAGCCATCAGCGTGGTGCAGGTTTAGTTTTTTGGAGACAGGTGACAGAAAGCAAGCAAATAACTAGATCTGTACCGTACTGATGATTGCTCAATAGCACAAAACAACGTTGCATACGGTTGGTTACGGTTGCAGAAACGTGAATATAAAAGAAACTTGTACTTGATGAGAATACGTTGATCAATACTTACCAATATGTCTTCTTAAATGTAGTTCATGTAAGTCTTTGATGCTTTTCAGGCAACATTTGTAGAGTCGTTCTGTTAAATCGTTGAATTCTAAGTCGGTCATAATTGGTCGAATATGTAAAAGTTTCTTTAGCTTCCTCAGTAATGGTTTCTTGAACTTTACTTCCTCTAACCTTGATGCTGATACTCGAACTTGTCAAAATTTAAACAGTGAGTTGAAAACAAATATTATTCAACTGTTAACACTGTGAAATCGCCACTATTCACCGCAATACCTAAATGAGAAGTAGGTACCAGCCCTAGGTAATAGTAGGGGAAGCCCAATAGAGATTAAGGATTTACTCCGGCGTGGCCAATTCACGTAATCTACAGGGTGGCTCATTTACTGGCAGCTAATATTTTTTTTTTGAAAAACGCTCGGACCCGTCGATTTTGTTTTTGAGGGGGACACAAGTTTGGTAAAAAATCACGTGCAGCCCTCTAAGCGGGGGTGACACCACCCCAAAATCTTAAATGGAAAGGGGTGTCGAGTGATACCTTATTTTAAAGGTCTTTCAATTCCCTTTATAATGATATAAAATTAATTTACTTCAGTTCAGTAGTTTTGAAGATTTATTGATTTAAAGCTTAAATAAAACTAATACATCATCATTAGTGGATATCAATACATTTGGCAGCAAAGTAACTTAAAAATGAAGATTGAACTGACCCGTTAGGCAAATAAATGTTGAAAATGGCCACCATAACTCTCCATGCAATAATAAAGATTTTGCTCAAAACGTTGCCGCACAATTTTCAATATTTGAGGAGTAATTTGAAGGCACTCATTCACAATTCTTTGTCGCAGGTCTTCTAATCATGTTGGCTGAGTAGCATAGATTTTGCTTTTTAAATGACCCCTCATAAAGAGAACCAAAGGTGATAAATCTGGCGATCTTGGGGGCCACTCAATGGCACCTTTTCTACCAATCCATCGATCTGGAAGCGTCTGATCTAAATATTGTCGAACACGTAATGCGTAATGTGGTCGGACACCATCCTGTTGGAACATCAACCTATTCGCAATGTACCGCCGATCATTCTGATTTTCAATTATGGCTGTTAATGCAGGATCTATGGCGTCCTCTAGTAATTCCAAATATATTTCAAAAGTACCAGCCCAAACATTAAATTTTTGTGGCTGCTGTGTATGAACCTCATGATAGATTCTGGGATTAGAATCGGACCAATATCGGCAGTTATGACGATTTACTACGCCATTTAAGAAAAAGGAACATTCGTCTGAAAAGCAAGTGTTGAATAGCAAATGTTCATCTTTTATAATTCGTTCACTCATATCTTCACAAAATTGTAATCGGCGATCAAAATCGTTTTCATTAAGTTCTTGTACCAGGTGAATTTTATACGGATGAAAATTATAGACCTTTAGAATCCGTTGGACAGTACGTCGACTAACACCTCACACAGTCTCCAATTTGCGGGTACTTAACGTAGGATCTACACAAACTTGCCCTAAAATCCCCAGTTCTATTGTTTCGTTCCTTATGGAATTTTCAATGTTGTTTTTTTTATTGGCGACTGATCCAGTTTCCCGAAATTTAGCTACAAGTTCTAGAATATACTTTTGATGCACGCTACTGTTCTCTGTCAACTCTTTTTGCTGTGGAATATACCATGGTTAATTTATGTAATAAAGCGTTACAAGTTATTTCAGCAACAAAGTTTGGTTAAATCAATCGCAAACTATGTACTAAATTCCTATTTGAAATAAGTACGAGATATTTCCTTATCTTTCTTCAAAAAATAGCTTTTTTGCTACAAAAATCGCTAGGTATTTTCAACAACAAAATGATAAACAAACCATGGGCGTAGTGAAGAAAAGCATTTACTTATTAAGTAAATTCTTTTAGTCAAATTTCTTCTGAAAGTAGTACAAACTAATCTGATGTACATATTATAGTCTACTTTAAGCTTTAAGTCAATAAATATTCAAAACTATTGAACTAAAACTCATGTATTTTACATCACTATAAAGCGAATTGAAAGACCTTTAAAATAAGGTATCTCTCGACCCCTCTTTCCATTTAAGATTTTAGGGCTGGTATCACCCCCGCCCAGGGGGGTGCACGTGTTAACGTGATTTTTTGCCAAACTTGTGTCCCCCTCGAAAACAAAATCGACGGGCCTGAGCGTTTTTCCAAAAAAAAAACAGAGCTGATAGTAAATGCGTTCTGTTCGTTTTCGATGCGCCACATAATAAGTATCTCCATCATATACAAGCTCATTATATAAGGGAGTACGTCTATGGTGGTACATAGGGCATATGCAATGTCAATATCTGATGCCTCAAGTATTTCTATGTAATCATTTTTTCACGTTCACCTGTAGGCGCTCCTCTCGCCACTACATCATACAACCTTTTTTTTCTGTGATCTGATATTCGACTCAATAGGTCCCTACAATCTACGACTAGCCATTTAGACTCTTGATCTCTCCCGCTATAAATAATGGAATCAAAAAGACGCCTAGATAAATAATGTCATTTGAAATTGTGTCCTGTCAATTTCATTGTGTAAGTTTAACAACTAAATTGAAATATGATTTATTTTATATATACTAAGTGACATATAAATCCGAACACCCAGTTTAAATAGTTTTATTTTAATAAAAGTTGGTGAATGTATTTATCTTACTGTAAACATTTTCAGCCTTATCAGTTGGACATTCCGGTTTTTATACTGCTTTTTTTTAATTCACTTATGCTCTAAAAATGAATATTTCAGCCGCAGTAAGCGTTGGCGGATTTTGGTTCTTGACATCCTTTACGATCGGTTACGATGCCTAGAGTACGGAGACCTGTACGATTTCGTCAACTTAGTGAGTTTGATAGGGGCCGTATAGTGGGACTTCGGGAAGCTGGACTTTCTTTTCGGGCAATTCCAGTTAGAGTGCAAAGAAGAGTAGACACTGTGGTTAGGTGTTGTCAGGCATGGCTTCGAGAAGGCCGTACGCAAAGAGCAAGGGGCACTGGACGCCGCCGTAGAACAACAGACCGTGAAGATCGCCGCCTAAGATTATTGGCCTTAAGGGACCGTTTCTCCACTACCATGTCCATTGCAAATGAATGGTTTGCAGAACACGGAAGACCTATTGGCCTGCGAAGTGTTTGCCGACGAATGAGAAGTTTTGGCTTGTTTTCATACCGGCCACACTGGGTCCTCCCTTTAACTCGAGAACACCGACGTAATCGCCTTGAGTGGTGCAGACAACGGTAACCCTGGGATCAGGAATGGAACGGTATTGTCTTTAGTGACGAGTCTTGATTTTGTTTAGGCATGCACGATGGTCGTGCCAGGGTTAGAAGGCGACGTGGTGAAAGGAGGAATCCACAGTTTTTTGTTGAAGGACATGTTCATCACACTGTTGGAGTTATGTTTTGGGGTGCTATAGCTTATGGTTCCAGGTCACCTTTAATCTTCACCAGAGGTAACATGAACGCGCAGCGTTATATCCACGAAGTTCTGGAACCCCATCTTTTACCCTATCTTGACACCCTGGCAGATCCAACTTTCCAACAAGATAATGCCCGACCACATGTTGCAAGAGTCACAATAGACTTCTTTCAACATAATGATGTCACATTGTTACCATGGCCACCAAGATCTCCCGACTTATCCCCAATTGAGCACGTGTGGGATATGATGGGTAGAAGATTGCTTAATTTGCAACGTCGTCCTCAGACTCTAGAAGCACTTCGAGAGGAGTTGGTGGTTGCCTGGAATGAGATACCACAGGAGGACATTGACCACCTGATCAGAAGCATGCCTAGGCGCGTTGGAGAATGCGTAGCACATCAGGGTGCATCCACACATTATTAAAGATCAAAGGGCTTTAAAGCAGTGCAATCATTTTGAAATCTTTATCATTTACTTATTATGCTTCATTAAGTACTTATACAAAGTTTTATTAAAATAAAACCATTTAAAGTGGGTGTTCGGATTTATATGTCACTTACTATAGTTTGAAATCCACGATACGTGGTACTTAAGTTAACGTACCTCCAAATTTCGCTCTAAAATTTGAACGGAGGCGTAGGAAGTATGGAATCATTATACTTGACGCGATCAGTAACAAACTAGGAGCTTTACCTAGAGCATTTTTATCTACTGTAAGTTAAGAAAGGACCTACTGTTGATGTCTTCAGACAACAAGGTCACGTCTGATCTAGCAGACGTCGTACTTTCTGCAGCTTTAACGTTAACATCCTTTTTTTCTTCTTGATCACCGACGTTCGTGTTATATTTAGATTCAACATCCTGCGCCAACGTTATATGCTTATCAGTAGATGAATAGGCAGTCACCTTAGCTGTGGACAGTTTTTCTTTAATAGGAGCTAAATGTTTTGGAAGTTTTCGACCAGACTTCTTCTGAGGTACATGAGGTTTGCGTGTATAATCTTCAGTGTCTGAACTGAAAACGGTGGAAATAATCAATCCAAAGGTGGTGCATTTTTTGTCTGCATATTTTCGCCAAATATTAAATTACTCGTCAAGCAGTTACTCTGTCTGATCGCAAAAAAGTTGTACTTAGAGCATCTCTGATATTTTCTACCTATAAAATGTTGTAGCGTCACTATGACTATCGGCTAATTCGATATTTTTTCCTTCTTCATTGTTCATATCGTCTCTATTCTCATTATCTTGATTGCTTCTCTTAGCCATCGTTGATAGTTTGATCTATAGACAACAAGATGTGAATGTGATACCGGGTGCGCCATCTTTTATGTCGGTATTGAAACATCGAATGACTTTGATATTTACCAACCGAGTGATTCGGTTATACGTATTTCTGAAACGTCAATGTACTACAATCTTAGCCATGAATCGCTTTACACCGAAACAGCGCCCCGAAATAGTCACAATGTACATTGAAAATCGTCGTGTTAACGTAACGTGCATATTGTTGAAAATATCGTGGCAAACAGGCACCGTCTGGCAACACTATCCGTCGTTTGGTTTCGAATTCTCTTGAGTACGGGCATTGTTAGATCGTCAACATACCGTTCATCTACGACCAAGACCTTCCAATGAATTGGTTGAAGCGGTCTGAGACAGCGCTGCCCAGAACCCAAAAGTGTCGTTTCGTCACCGCGCTCAGCATTTTGGCATCAGTGGAACCACGTTGCAGCGCATTTTGAAGGATGATTTGCATTTGTTTCCTTATAAGGTGCAGTTAATACAAAAAATATTGCCAATTGACCGTCCACGTCGCTGGGAATAGGCCCAAACAGTCGGTCGCATGGTTGATGCTGACCCTGATTTTTGGAAGCAAATTATGATGACCGACCAGGCCCATTTCACGCTCGATGGCGGCGTTAATAAGCAAAACTGTCGCATTTGAAGAGGAAAAATCCACGAGAGATCCACGAACGGCCGTTGCATGACCGGAAGGTGACTGTTTGGGCCGGTGTTTGCGCCAAAACCATCAATGGGCCATTTTTCTTCAACGAAAACGAAACAGTCGATGGACATCGATATCGGTGGATGTTGGCTCATTGTGTCTGCCCACAAATGCGTGAAAAAGATCTTGATGGTTACTGGTTTCAACAAGACGGTGCACCATGCCACACTGCAAATGATGCAATCCAGTTTCTGCAACGAAAATTTCCTGAACGTCAAAAGGAGGTGACATTGACTGGCCACCCAGGTCTCCAGATTTGACCCCACCGGACTTCTTCTTGTGGGGTTATTTGAAAAATCAAGTGTACGCCAGCAATCCCCAGACCACTGAAGGACTCAAGCCAAACATTCGCACCGCAATCGCCGCTATACCACCAGAGATACTCGAAAAAGTAATGGAAAACGCAGCAAAACGGGCACATCTTGTTTCGGCCAGTAAAGGTGACCACTTGATAGATGTTGTGTTTAAAATTTAAAGGACCATATTTAATAATAATACCCGATATATAGAAACCAGTTTTTCGTTTTCAAAGTTATTTTATGTTTACATACCGACATTAAAGATGGCGCACCCTGTACGTTGTAAAGCTATACATCACATGTACAGATTATGAAACTATTCAACGCGAGCTCATTGGAACATAATTTGTAAATAATTTATTTAATACTCATTGATGTACGCAAAAATTTGGGCCTTCTTATAGATATAGACCTACATTTCCACACGCATATTAATAACATTATCAAAATATGCCTTTTCAGGCTGAAATCAACAAGCACTTCCTCAATTAGATCAAATGTTCGCCTACAGGTTACAGAAAATCAAAATTCTTGTTGCCGGTTAACAAATGATCCTAGGAAATTTGATTAACTGACCCAAGCAAAGATTTATGAAGGCTGAAAGTTGATAACGTGTTCAAATATTTATTTTTGTCATTTGTAAAATTTAATATAACTACTCATTCACCACTACGTTGCTTCAGCGCTGTATAACGCCGCTGTATATTACGAGCCCCTTCCCACTTCAGTTGGCCCAACTATAACTATTGAAATCTTAGTTTTTTTCTTATCAAACACAAATAATAGAAATGTAGCAGGGTGTTATAGGTTTAAAATATTAACAATGAATATTTTGATAATATATAGTAGAAAACACCAACTTTATCACTGCCTAATCAAATTTGCAGCATGAAAATAACACATATTGCAATTGCAGCATATCAGCCTATTTTCATTTCAATGCAAAATAAGTCTATAACGCATAGGTGGCTGTGAAAAATAAAAGCCATGACAATTGTTTTTATTAACCACAGCTGTCAGAACACGTTAAAAATAGTTTTTGGTAGTTAAGGTTTTCAAAATGGGTAGAGGAAAGGTTATTAGTGAGAAAATTCGGTTACTGATAATTAAATTTTTTAATTCTGGGAAATCAAACTCAGAAATGGCAACTTTGTTAGACTTATCGCGGTACAGTGTGAGAAATATTGTTAGAAGATATAACGTAACTGGTTCAGTTAATATTAAGCCACGATATGTGAAAAAAAAGTAATAACACAAATGCCGACCGAAGAGCATTAAGAAGGATAATCGTAAAAAACAGGCGTGCCATTTATTTACAATTAAGTGCTCTGTGGAGTGACGCTGTTGGAAGGAGAATTTCGAGGTCCACAACTCATAGAGAGGCCCACAAGCTGGGATTTAGCACTTGCCAGGTAAGTTTTCTTATAAAAAAAAGTGAAGTAAAAACTCTGAAGTTGCACAACTTGTTTATAGGCCAAGGAAAAGCCACTATTAACTCCACTGCAAAAGAAAAATCGGCTTAGATGGGCTAAAGAACATAGACAATGGACACCTCAACAATGGTGTGCAATACAATGGAGTGATGAGGCCCGATTCGAAGTTTGTGTTGGTGACAGTCGCAGTAGAGTTATTCGCAAAAAAAATGAAGCATTCCATGTTGACTGTCTGAAGAGATAAGTGAAATTTCCAGCATCAGTTATGGTCTGGGGCAGTATGTCATCAAAAAGAGTTGGTAAACTTCATTTTATTGATGGAAATGTGGATACAAACAAATATTTGGCAATTATAGAAGAATCGCTTTTACCAGTGATGGAAGAATGTTTGACATCCGGCCAAGATTTTGTGTTTCAGCAAGATGGTGCAGCGTGCCATACCTCAAAAAAGGCTGTAAAATGGATTGAAGAAAATAATGTACCACTTTTGAAATGGGTTTCCAGCAGTCCAGATCTGTCACCTACTGAAACTCAGCGAACTGAGACAAAAGCTTCAAGAAATATGTGATTGTTTTACACCAAATTTTTGCCAAAACTTGGTTAACACTATGCCCCAAAGAATTTCAGCCGTAAAAAAATAAAGGTGATGTTACCCAATGGTAATCTTTCAATTGTTGCTTTGTTAACTTCGCGCATTTATTCGCACATTGTTTATTTGTTCAGATGTTCTATTAGTTATAGGTCTGAGTGATTTCAAATATATATTTTTCACGACTAGAGTGTATCTAAAATGTTTTTTAAAAAATAGTTTTAGAAGTCAATAGTTTCGTCATGTTTACTTTATAAAGGTATATTTTGGTACAAATCTTGAAGTGGGCCAACTTAAGTGGGAAGTGGCTCGTATAATGCATTAGACAGCAATATTAGGAAAGTAGAAAATCATCATAAATTTAAGTCACTAGTAAAGCAATATATTTTCAACACCCAGTAACACATAAATTTTGGTAGCACTTAATCTTGGTTGATTATATTTTAGGTAACACTGAAATTTCAGAAGTATTTGGAACTTTATTTATTCTATCAGTAGCAGACATTTTTATAGTTTATAGGGTGTCCAGTGGGAAAGTTCACATTTCAAATTTGAATTACGCGGCAACCATATACGCGAGGAAGTGTGTAGAGGTACTGATCGACGCGTTCGGCGTGCGGGTTAAATAGTCACAATGGAACGTTGGACCGGACCGCAACGTGCCTTTGATATCGAGGCTTATTTTAAGAGTGATGACTCATACGCAGCTACCTTCGGAAATTTTGTCCACGATACATCATTCGTCGACCAAGAGATGCCTCAAGTAAGAAGCTGCGGAAAAAGTGGTTTAATAGGTTCCGTAAAACAGGCTTTATTCTTAGTTAACCCAGTTTATTGGCCAATGGCTAGACTCCACCTAATGCTAATGATGCAATAAAGACAAAGAATATTACATTTTATTATACTATTACCCTTATGTTCTTAGTTATTTTTAATTTTTGAAACTTACAGCCGGATAGAAATAATCTGCGGAGGGTAATCTCTAAGCTTAAAGAGACTGCCTAGTCCTTCTTAGAAAAATGTGGGCAATACGTATAGTTTCTAGATTCTTGTGCCAACATGTATTCTGTGATTCCTAGCGTCAATGGAGCTCAACCCAAGGCAAGGACATTCTCAACGTTCTACAAAAAGAGGTAAATCTCACATGAAAAATAAAACAATATATATAAAAATGACTTATAAATTGACAAACTAGTGGCACATAACCTCTCGTGTTAAGTGAACGTTTGATATGTTACTATAAAGGGTGTTCATCAATGCCGTATAAAAAGAAAAAATCGAGATCCAATTAAAACTTGTATTGTTCTTCATATGCGCACTATGTAGCATGCCAAATTTAAAAAAAATATGCGAAAACCAGAGATACAAGAGATGCTTCTGAAAGACTATAAAAAGCTGTGGCCATCGCCAAATGTACATGACGTTGTTAATTAATATTTTCAGAACCGCTTCAGATATTTCACTGATATTTAGTACATAGTGAAAGTTGATGAAGTTGCATATTTTTCAATGCAAAAATAATATTTAGCTTTAACCGTGGCGTGCGTACGGGTATTGACTTCGAAATTTTTTAAGAAAAAAGTGGTACGCCAATAGTTTTTGCCAAATAAAAATTATTTTTAAATTCCTCGTTCAATTTGAAACAAATGATCTCTCTTGAATTGTTTTCCTTCGATGCGCTATTTTTGAGTAAAAAAATAAAAACCGCTCTATTATCCGAGAAAATTAAAGTAATATTTGAAGAATTCAATTTATCAATAAATATCTAGTTAGTCTGGCTTTTGACATCTGACAAGTCTCTGTTATTTATATTTATTTATTTCCAACAGGTGAAACCCAATTACAGGAAACGCTGAAAAAAAAATAACAATTAAAAGAGACATGATTCTTGGACTTGAATCTATACATTGTAAATAAGATTGGATGATCTATAGCAGTTAATAATCGATGCACAACGGTCACTGTAAATATCACACGATTCAGTAACACTATTCATGACGCAGCACATGAGATTAATTGGCGATTTTGTCATAACATTTGTACGGCCAGCTTGACAATAGAATGCCGTTTGTTGTCGACTCCCTAGCCTTGGAACGCGGAAACATATTTTTTCAAGTAAATTTTGACAGTCAATTTTATTGTGAATGAGGCTATACAAAAACGACAAAGCAAATATGTTTCGTCTTGTTGACAGTGAATCCAAATTGAAAAACTCTAATAGGGCACTATGGTCACAACTTCTTTCTGGATAAGAACCTGTGCATTTAAGGTGAAAATACTTAAAAGCTTTACGTTGAATGGCCTCAAGGATCATGACAGAATTTTGGAATATAGGAGACCAGATCAGAGTCGCATACTCCAACTTGCTCCTGACAAAAGTAAAATATAAAGTCATTAATGTATCAAAATTGGAGAGACCCTTCCAGTTTCTGATACAGAAACCAAGTAGTCGAGTGGCAGCCGACGAGATATTGAGTATATGCTGAGTAAACGTTAGCTTGGTATCAAAAATGACTCCAAGGTCTCTATAAGAGGTGCATCTGTCTATAACCTGACCATTGATGTTATAACTATCATAAATTAAATAGTTAACTTTTCTTGTATAAGTCATAACTTTACATTTCGAAACATTCAGACTGAGACAGTTTCGTGAACACCATGACGAAATTAGAGCTAAGTCATCTTGCAACATGACGCAATCCTCGACTGTCTTGACTGACGTGCAGATTTTAAGGTCATCAGCGAAAAACAAATGGAAACACTTCAGTTCAAAAGACAAGTCATTAATAAATATTAAAAACAATAATGGACCTAGATTTGACCCTTGAGGTACCCCGGACGTGGCCCGATAGTAACTTTACCTATGACCACCATATTCGACAAATAACCTTCTATCCCTCAAATATGAATTCATGAGCGACAGCATTGCATCAGACATGCCCACTGTTTTAAGCTTATCCAAAAGTGCATAATGATCAACTTGATCAAACGCCTTCTGAATATCTGTGTAGATGACATCAACTTGTCCCTGACCGTCCAGTACTTCAGAAATGTACTGAGTAATTAGAGCCAAGTTGGTGACCGTAGATCTGCCTCTCATAAACCCATGCTGATTAATAGAGACTGCACCCCTGACCGAGCAGTAAACCGTTTCATAAGCGATGATCTCAAACAACTTGCTGAAATTGCACAGGATTGCTATTTGGCGATAGTTGGAAATATCGGAGATATCTCCACTTTTGTGAATAGGACATATCTTAGAGGTCTTCCAGATATTTGGATATGTCTCTGATTTTAGAATTAGGTTGAATATGGAAGCCAGCGGTTTCGCTAGTATATGAATGCAATCTTTAACGAAAAAATTTGGAATACCATCACATCCAGACGTCTTTTGTTCTTTAATCTTTTCGAAGCAGTAATTACGTTTTCTTCGCTTATATTTTTTAAAGAAATGATATCGGGAGAATTATTTGTTGGAGGAGATGACCCTAGTAGACCAGACAGGATAAAAACTGTTGAAAATAAGGTAGCAAAACTGTCCACTATATCCTGAGGCGTATCGCAGACATTGCCGTTAAGCGTAGTAGATGTCTTATGGGGATTCGGTCTCAAAACTTCCAAAATCCGCCACCAGAGGCGCTGGCGTCGCGCGCCATTGACAGGTTGTTGGACGGAATCTGTAATCATGAGTTGGGGATTCCGCCGCTAGATGGCGCTGTCAAACAAAACGGAATCTGTGTGTCATTGGACACCTGTCATGCGTCATTGGGCATCTCACGCATAGATGGCGTTAAAACGTCATCTGTCATACGTCATTGGACACCTGTCATTGATGGGTTGGGCATCTCGCGCATAGATGGCGCCGATTTGTTTGGCGCTGTACAAACCAAACGGAATCTATGTGTCATTGGACAGCTGCCATTGATGGGTTGGGCATCTCGCGCATAGATGGCGCCGATGTCGCACCTGTCTGGTGTTGGCGTGGATTACGGGGGGCAACGTGTATACAGGGGTGCATCGAAAAATAGCGGATCGATGGACCGACGGTATATCGTTAAATCGTATATAGCAAGGCGTGACCTAAATAGCGTGGTGGGCTCCTCTGGTCGGTCGGTCGGTCGGTCAGAATGTCTCATAACCTGTATACGATGTACTGTTATTATTATACAGGATGATACCGTTCAAAATGAAAATAGTATAATGGATATTTTATTGAAACATATAGTATATATAACAATAAGGTTGATTGGTGTGTGTGTGTGTGCCATGTTTTGAATACCCGCGCTTGAACAACTTGCAACAAGAAATTCCGACAATATTATTTCGCAAACCAGAGGTATTTTCAATAAAACTACATATCAGGGAGTACTTTAGATGTTGATACTAATCGACTCAAATCATTGTTCGACAACTGATTTGGTTCATGACAGACAAGAATCAAATTATGTATTTCACGGTTCAGTTCTGGTTGTTTTTTAATTTTTTCCCTAAACTTCAGGTAACCCAGGAAATATGTCTCTTATCCGTCCTCTGTTCAACACATCAGTAAAATCGTTAGAAAATTCTATATATGACATATTATTATAAAAGGTATAGGACCGTCCTGCGTTTGATTGAAAAATAGCATTGATTCGAGCCCTATCGGGTATATCAATTGAAAAATTATCAAGAAATTTAATGGTAGGGAATGATGCTGAGAAATAGTTGTTTGGAGACACAATGGTAATCAAGTCACCGTTTGTTGATTGGAAAATATGTTGTAAAGTGTATTGACGTAATTCTGTAGGAACATAATCGACAAGAAGTTCAGGCTGAGATGGGATAATCATTTCGTTTAAGTCTAGTTTCCATATAAACATATCATGTGCAATATATAATCGGTAATTTGAAAACTCTGGAGCAATAGCTAAAAACATAAAATCTGGAATAATATCACACAAATTTTTGAGGATCGGCTGCTTACGAGTTGTAGATCTTATAGTTGTTGTTGTTTTTGGTATTGCTGATGCGGTGGTAGACGTTGGGATTGAATCATATTTGTTTTTTCTTCCATATAGATATTGTACTGCATTTATATCATCAACATCTAGACCACGAATCTCATGCTGATAGAAGGCAAACATAATAGCATTCGGAGAAGCACTATGTGCTATGCCGAGAGCATGTCCAATTTCATGAACCAACACCTGATAGAGAATGATGTCAAAAATCTCAGATAGCAAATATAAATTCGTTTACCCCCCAATCAAAATCTTGACTGAAAAAAAATTAGGCAGCAAATATACAATAATCATACACGAATTTACTATATTTCTAAATTTCTACTCTCATGTGCAACTTGTAATTGGAATTTCCGCCGGACAAACGATACATTCATGTATTACTAAGAAATTATATAAAAAATACTGCAACCGCAATGAATGTTGTTTTCTCGATAAAAATGGTACTGAGAATATGATGCATATAATATGCATATTTACGATACAATTATCTCATGCACGCGTGTGTTATCTCAACCACGTATTTATATTTAGCGAGCGCATGCAATAGTCATCATTGTTTCACACTTAACGCACAACGCTGCAAGCTGGAACAACGGCCGCAGTACAATAGTGCTTCGAGAGAGACGAGATAGCGAAAATTTTAAAAAAAGTAAGTGCTATTTTATTTAATATTTTTCTTTTTTATGTCTCTAAATGCAACTGTTTTTTTTTCGTGTTATGCTTCAAAATAGTTAGACGACTCAATTTTTTTTATAGATGGATTTATCAAAAATTAATGCTGCGTCTTCGATTGTAGACCGCAAACCTATCAGAAAATTAAAGGACCTACCAGTTGGGACACCATTTGCAATCCAAGCAGCTAAAGTGGTCAAGTCGAAATTTGGGGAAGCCGTGCTACTAGATTTAGGACCGGAAGTGCTATTTCTACCACAGCGGGTGACGGAAACGTACCAGCCGGTCATCGACGAACTTTTTCACGGAAAATACTCGATCATCTTCCAAGGGGAAGTGGACGTAGGGAAAAGCCGACCGCTAGCATCATTCAAAATAGTGGAAAATTAACAAAGCAGAGAACAGGAGGAGGAGGACAGGGTGAGCATTTTTATATATTTTTGAGTAATGTGTTTGCTTGAAAAAAAAAATGTCGTCTTTTCAAATGTCTTCAAATAAGGTTAAAAAGATCATCAAACAAACA